ATTGTATGCTGGAACCTATATATGAGAACACACCTCTGAGATTATGCAAAGGGGAAAAAGGCTAGGATCTGTGATTTCATCCATATGGAGAAATCTCATGAAGGAAATCCCCTTTACCAATGTTGTTCAATACCTTCCTGTAACTTAGTCTTAGAGAAATGCTTAGAGACTTCTGAGCATTGAAATGACTTACCCAGTGCACCCACTAGTATTTGTCAGAGGAAAAGCTTGAACTGTCTAGTCACTACTCCATGTTGTCACTAGTAAAAGAAATACTCCCAATAAACTCAAACAAAATTTAAGAAGTGCTAACCGCTAGGAGAAATAATAAAGGCCACCTTTTGTAACTGAGCTGGGTTTTGAAAAGTTTTAGAGGTATCAAGAGTAGGAGGTGAGAAGGAAGGTCATGTCAGGCATGGGAAAAAGCCAGTGGAAAGGCACATAGGTGGGAGATGTGATGTCATTCAAGGGAAGTAGGTAAATCTGGCTGGGATAAAATGTATTGTGAGGTTAGAGAGAGTTGGTAATGTGTGATCAATCTGGAAAAATAGGTTGGAGCAAAATTGTGAAGGAATTTCAACGCCACACAGAAAATCGTGCGTTTTATACCAAAAGCCAAATAGAGTCATTGAAGACATTTGAAGAGAGGAATTATACTGTCACATCCATGCATGAGGAATATCAGCATTCTAGCTCTTTGTAGAATGATGAGAGGGAGAAAAACTAGACACACAGAGAGGAGCTGGGAGATCACCACAACGGCGCAGCTCTGAGGCAATGGGAGAGTAAACTAGGGTGCTTGGCAACTGATTAGATATGGGGAAGGGAAAAGGGGGACACTGAGGACTCCAAGGTCATGAACCTGAATGGCCAGAAGGATCTTTATGACCTCCATTGGATCACAAAAGGTGGGAAGGTTTAGAGGGAGAGATAATATGTTCCATCTTGAATTCCAAGTTGGATTTGAGGTGGCTATGTGATATCCAGTGAAAAGGGGGAACAGGAGTTAGAGAAGCTGAACCAGAAATCAAGACAGGCATGGAGTTGGATATGTAGATTTCAAAATCATCTACAGAGAGATGGGAGTCAGACTCATGCTAGCTAAAGCCCAGGGCCTTTTGCTAGGAAGTCTGACTAACTACCCTCACTGATTCTTGCTAAACCTTTCTGCTCAACTCAAAGAATAAGTCATTTCACCCACTGCTACTGGAATTCCCAAAAAGCAAACCTTTTCTTAGCTATCTTTTCCTCTTAAACAGGTTATGAGCTCCCTACCCTCTTAGCCTCTCTTTATAACTGACCCCTGAGGGACAGAGTTGTGGCCAGGAGTCTTAAAAACCCAACACTGATCTTATCACACCTGTGAGGACCTTTACACTTTGATTTTATTTTGTTTTGTTTTGTTTTATTGGTATAGAAGGGCTCAAAAAAATATCATGGGATAACACAATTACAAACATGAAAGAGGCCTCAGAGATCATTTAGTCCAACAGGTACCTGAACAAGATTTTTCCTCCTCCACAATACTCTTGAAAAGTATTTGTCCAATTTCTGCTGGAATATTTGCAATGATGGAGAAGTCACATCCTCACAAGGCAGCCTATTCAACTTGGGAATACCTATAAGTTTTGGTGAGTTGTAATTATAGTAGTAGTAGTAGTAGTAGTAGTAGTGGTGGTGGTGGTGGTGGTGGTGGTGGTGGTGGTGGCAGTAGTAGGAGTAGGAGTAGTAGTAGTATTTATTGTTGTTGTTATCATTCCCCATATATGCAGATGAAGTCTTTCACTTTATCTTTCATTCATATTCCTAAATCTGTGCTCTGGAGCCAATAAGAGCAAATCTAATTGCTCTTCCACGTGATATTCAAATATTTAATGATGGCTTCCACGTATTCTCAAAATCTCATTTTGCCAGTCTAAACATCCCAAGTTCCATTTTTCATCTTTCTATGGTATGGTTTGTAATAATCTCACCACACAATTGGTCTATTCTGACTTTTCAATGTCCTACCTAAAACATGGCACCCAAAACTCGATAGCAAGTCTCTGCTGTTTATGTAAATTACAGAAGTGGCCATCTTTATAGTTTTTGTAAAGGAATCATCAACCACCACTATGCTTTGTAAAAGAGTCAGGTGAATATAGGCTTTAGACCTAAGTGCAGTGTAAGTGAACATCTGGTCTAATCCTCTGATTTTACAGAGGAAGAAACTGAGATCCAGAGAAGAGAGGTTCACATAAAGTCACATGTATAAAAAGTGCCCAAACTAGAATACAAATGCAGGTTTTTGTCTTCAAATCCAGTGTATTTTCCATGAAACTGCAATGTTTCTAAACTTCTCAAACCCTACTGCCCTTCCATTTTCAAACTGGGCTTTAGTCTCACAATCCAAATTTATAGCACAATAGTGGTACAGGACATCTTCAAAGTTTGTTGGCATAGGTTTCCTGTTCTTCAATACCAGCACATTTTGAAATGTGTGATGGGGCATTCAAAAAAAATCAATTTATTGCTCTATCAGTAATGAATTATTAAGTGACTATCTGCCAGGCATTGTGCAAGGTGCAAATTAAACAAAGACAATGTGAAGCGGCTCCTTCTCTCAAGGAGCACACAGTATGTTCCACTGGGAAAAGCAGAAAGGTACAATTTGCCTACTACAAGCTGGATCTTGGTTACTCAGAAACAAATTGAATTGGCTTATCATGGTGCAATATAGAGAGTATGACCCTGGGTGAATAGTTTAACCTATTTGGAACTTGGTTTTCTCACCTGCAAAATAAGGGGGTTTGCTTCAATGGTGTCTAAGGTTGCTTCTAGCTCTAAATATATCATCTTATGTATTTCCACAGTTATTCTCCAGAGTAAGCAATGATCCTACAGAGGAAATTATGTATTATCTTTTTGATTTCAGACTCCTTTTTCCTGTTTATCCAATAGCCCATTCTGTTTAGTCTAACTTCAGGCCTCCTGTGACTGTATGCCACTTTTCATGAATTCTTTCTTCATGTTGTTCTAATAACTCTCATCAGGGTAAATCATAACATTTATGTAGAGACATTAAAGGCAGAGCCCATCTCTAAGTATTCAACAACTGAAACTCTCCTGAAACTATAACAAAGATTCATCAGAGTTCCCTTTGTCTCCAAGCTGGGACACAGACTCCAGCAGAGACACGGTTATTATCGCAGCACTGTTCTGAGGATGTTTGTGTAAACAGAATTCCTGATATCAACTCTGCTTATTAAAAGAAGCATTAAATACAGGTGTGAACCTCTGTTTACAAAATCTGACAGATTTTCAAAGTGCCATACACTTGCCTTAATTTATTACAAAATTATGTGATCACGAAAAGTCAATATGAGTTCAAGGAAGTATATTCCACTTTCCACCAGACTTGTAATTTCAAAGATATAAAGAACTACCCAGGAGGAATTCCATATCCCAATGTTCTGTCACTTTTGATCCCAGAACAAGGGTTCTGATCCATTTTTTTAAATCATATATACCTTGTCATCTGGCAAGACTCAGAATAATATTTTAAATATTCTCAGAATAATTATTTTAAAATATACAAAATAAAACATAGGATTTAAGGAATCTAATTATATTAAATACAATTAACAGATTATTCAAAAACAAAAACTTGTCCCTAGTCCCCCTTTTGAAGAATTTTGCAGCACTTCTTAAATTGTGAGTCACAAAATATTAGCACGAGATGGAGGAAACTTGTATTGTGATATAGCAGAAACAGAACTGGTTATAAAGCCAGAGGACAAGGGTTTGATTTCTACCTCTGCCACTCACCACTCCTCTGACCTTGGGTAAAGCACTCACATTTTCTGGGGTTTCAGATTCCTCACTTGTTAAAATAAATATGCATGAACCACTTCGAGTGTGACTCAGAACCAGAGTTTACACAAACCAAAAGCATATTCTTTAGTCTGCATTTCTCATCTAGGTTTTTCCTAGAAACATTTGTATTTGGCTCATGTCTGGGTCTCAGGGAGGTATTTCCTAGAAACATTTGTATTTGGCTCATGTCTGGGTCTCAGGGAGGGTGATGATTTTAGGTACTCTGTAAGCACCAAGGCAAAGTTATTTGAAAAGACAAAGGACTCATGAACAACACCATTACCAGTCAAGATAGAACTCCTTCCTTTTCTGGTCATCCCTACCTCCCTGGGGATGTCTGAAGAGCTCCAGACTTATTGTTGTCTACTGAATGGGCCTTCATTCTCCCAAAGGGAAAAGGACATTAGGTAAATAAAATGTCAGGGAATCTAACCTTATGCTGAGCTCTAGTTCCCTAGTAGGTTCATACTATCCATCAATCAATCAATGGATAAAGCAATATGGATTTATTATATACTTAATAGGTCCTTGAGACAATACCAAGCATAGGGGGATGTGAAGAAAGTTGAAAAGTTCACAGATTAGTAGTAGAGACAATAGAAACAACTATGTACAACTTATAGTATTGACCCAGGGTGGGGCTTTCATTTAACCACCAAAAAAATAAAAAAGAAAGAAAGCACATGGAGATTCATTGCCTTCCTCCCCAAATCCTGAACCAGCCATAGTCTACAGCAGGGCTTCTTAAAGGTATTGCATGGCAAGATGGCATGCGCAGTGCAAAGTGTACATGCTTCATGTTCAGAACCAAGGTTGCAGTGAAGTTTGCAATGCAACATAGGCGAGTGCTGCCAGGAACACTTTGGATTCATTACATATTTGATTTTAAATAAATTTTGGTCTCTGCATGTTCAGAAACCATTTACTATTGCCAACTTTTTTTTTTTTATTTGGGATTGCAACCCACAGTTTAAGAAGCACTGGTCTACAGTATCTGGATTTACTCCTCTTTCACATGCCATTGCTGTTAGTTCATATTCTAGTATACAAAGGAATTTATCAGTTCATCATCTCCTTATTAATATCGTAGAATGTCTAGATGATGAGTAATAAGAATATTTCAATGAAAATTAAAGACCACTTACCCTGATCATCATGACGGCACAGCGGATGTCATGGATTGAGTCATAGACCCTTTTGGAGGCATCCACAAACTGGCTATCATCAAACTGGTGCATGGCGTTCTTACCGAGGGCTTCCAAGGCGATGTTGACCTGGGAGATGAATTCTGGGATTGCTGTGGATATAAACACAAGATGGGAGGAAAGATTAACCCCTGGGGTTAATATCATCTAATCTTCACTAAAGAATACTAAAGATATTTAAAATTTGAATTTAGCTAAAAAGAAATGTATAAATGCACATGTGTTTGTGTGTGTGTATATATATATATGTATATATATACACACATATATATACATATATACTTATGTGTATGTGCCTATATATACATGTATGTGTGTATAATTATATATGTATATACATATATGTGTACATAGCCATATATAGTTATGTATGTATGTGTATATAATTATATAAGTATATTCAATTATACACATGTGTGTATGTTATATTGTTTAATATACATATTTCTCTATATATATACATATGTGTGTGTGTATACACACACACACACACATGAATGCATGCATATATACACAAACACAGAGCTAGGTGATGCAGTGGCTAGAGTGCCAGACTTGGAGTCAGGAAGACTCATGTTTCTTAATTCAAATTTGACCTCAGAAATTTACTATCTACATGAACCTGAACAAATCATTTAACCCTGTCTGTCTCAGTTTCTCCATCTGCAAAATGATCTAGAGAAGGAACAGGCAAACCAGTTCAGTATCTTTGTCAAGAAAACCTCAAGTAGGGTCATGAAGAGTCACACATGACTGAACAACATGAACAACAAAAATGTATATGTGTATAGAGATGTTTTATGCACATATGTGTGCTAGTATACATATGTATTTTAAAACTTCATTGGGAAAGAGAGACAATAAAACTTAAAAAAGAATGCTAAATGTAGACTTGAAAAATAACTAGATTCAAATCTTTCTTCACACATCTGGGCTAGGTAACTCTGGAAAGTCAGTTAACCTCTGAACGTTAGTGACTAATAATGTCAAAGATTCTAGAAATATTGAAAGATTAAAAAGAGATGAAATACTTCCATTTGAAATCTCGTTTTGTCCAGATAAAGGCTGGTTAAGAGAGAGAGTGATTTTGGCAGGAACTCTGAGGGAGCTATTTGCCCATAATGGCACAATGTCTGTGTATAATCCCAGGGTACGCACACCTCTCCATCACCTTTCTGGTCTACACATCCCTTCATCACACAATGAAGAGATAATCACTAATACCTACCACGTGTACTACAGTGAGGTAGGCCCTGTGGGGAATTCAAGGAAATAAAAGATTTGAACTCACACATGAACTAGCTCACAAGATAGATAGGAGTATAAAAGGATTACTGGATTTTGAGTCAAGAAGATCAAATCCTTCCTCAGGCACTTACTGGCTATAAGACCTTGGTCAAGTAATTCAGCTTTCTTAGTTCCAAAATAGTGATGATAATAATAATACCATCTACCTTACAAGGGTGTTGTAAAGATAAAGCAAGAGAAAACATATAAAGGCTTGAAAAATCTTTATAAAAGCTATATAAATGATTATCATCATCATCACAATCAACTTCATCATAACTGATTTGTTTGAAGCACTTTACTACAGTAGGAATAGTATTAGTTTTGGAGTCAAATGCCCTAAGTTCCAATCATGTCTTGGAAGTATACTTACTAGGTAAGTCACTCATTGTGTGGTACTCAAGCTACTTCTTAAGATTTGGTTTTTAGCTAGTTTGTGATATGTGTTGTTGAGAGAGGGGGGTCCCAAATCTATGATCTTGCATTCCTGAGCTTTAGGAGGAAAACAGTGTCTTTGCATGACTGCTCTGCCTAGGAAAAGGAAAAAAATAAAAACAAAAACCAAAAACCCAAGGAGGGGTCAGAGGAGAAAGGCAGTGTAGAATAGGATTATGGAAAGGATACTGTAAAGTAGAGGTGAACTGGGTTTATACTTTGGCCACTTACTAGCTGTATGATCTTGGGTAAGTCATTTACCTGCCTTAAGACTTGATTTCTTCATAAGAACATGGTGATAAATAACTATAGTTGTTATCATGGTGTGTTATGGTGAAGATTAAATGAGATGGATTTTGTACGTGTCATTCAATGTAAAATGTGAATGACATAATAAGTCATTTAAAGCATACTATAAACAAAAACTGATGGTTTTTTCCCCCTCTTTCTTAACTCCTTTTTTTCCTCTTACCACCTACATCAGCAAATGTTCTATATTAAGAGATATAAAGTTGTCATGAATGAAATTGAATTTTTTAATTGTAAACAAGTAAAGCAGTCAAGGAAAATCCTGACAAGGCAGGGAAGATATTTTTTTTGAAAGGTTCCCCCTCAAAATCTTCATAGAAAATACATTTTAATTGCCTGTTTTCAAACTCTTTTCATTATACCTGGAATTACAGCTTAAAATGTCTATATTATTGGCATTATGTTTTACTTTAGTGAAAAGAAATCATTAGTCTTGCACACAATCTTCCTACCTAAATGGCTAAATTGTTACATTTGGAAAAGATTAGATTTGGAGTCAGAACGACTGGTTTCAATCCCAAGAGCTTCAACTTGGGAGCTGGGTGACCTTGGGCAAGTCATAAATGTCTCAGAATGACCACTTCCTTGTAGGTAAAAATGAATGCAATGATACTTGTACTGCTTGTCTCACAGTTATTATGGGGATCAAGTGAATTAATGGATCTAAAGGATTTGTAGTTATAAAGTTCTGTGCAAATGTAAATTATTAGTATTCATTTTAACGTCAATACCTGATCATATTTCAGTGAACTACTAATATTATTTCCTAAATTCCTAAATCTATTGTCATTAATTCATGCACATGAATGAGATATGTTTAATATGCATACACATGATATATATATATATGTAACATACACATATATGCATATATACATATAGGTATGTATATACCTATACTGGATACATAGGATAAACATACATGTATGGCTTATAGCTTTCATGATCTCCTAGTGACTTTATATATTAATCTACAGAGGTTCATGCACTTGGATACACAATGCATACATAAAAATGTTACATAATATTTTGGTGTATATGTGTGTAGGGATGATTAACACATATCTTCTTCACAATGAGAAAAATCTAAATAATATACAAATATAGATAGATGATAGAAAGATTTGGAAGCAATCAGTATTAAGTGACTTGCCCAGGGTCCCACAGCTAGTAAGTGTCTGAGGGAGGATTTGAACTCAGGTCTTTCTGACCCCAGGGCCACTGCTCTATCCACTCTATCATTTAGCTGCCCCAGATGACTGAAAGATAGATAATATATGGATGTATTTAACTTATATATAGATATACTGTATGTATGTATGTCATATTGTTAAATCTATATCTATATATCCATACACACATATGTATAGTCGTAAAAACATGCAAGCCACCATCACCACACTGGTTGCCTTCGCGCATCACATGCAGATGGAGACGGTCTTAGACTCTGAGGAGAAGCATCTTGGGAATAACAGTGTCCCACACATCATCAGACCTGTTTCCAATCCAGCCTCCAAAGTCATTACTGAAAGAATTATTGTGGAGAAGGGGCCAATCTTCCTCAAGACCACCAGAAATGACTGCTGGTCAGCTGCCACTAACAGACAGACAGGCAGGCACAGGGTCTCTGGGAATGGCGGCATCAACACTCATACCTCCTCCATACACCCCATCCATACTAAGATCACCAGTCCTGCTTTTAGCCTAACCCTCACAGCCATAATCTGAGGAAGTGGCACCTGGGGAGAAGAGCCATCCCTTCCAAATGCCAGCCAACTGTCAAACATAGGACATGCTACCTGAAGTAGCGAGGTACTCATAGAGAAAAGCATGAGGCAGCATGTGCCAGCCACGTTAAACCATCAAGGCTACCTCAATCAATATCTCTCCTGAGACCCTGACTGATATAACCCAGGATCATGCATATGTGAGCCTTGGGAGAACTACCACTACCAGCCTAGGGCCTTTAGCCTTCATCCATGTGGAAAGGCATCCTGGCAACAACTTCTGCAAGTACTCAAATTGTAGCTACCAAAGCCTGAGAATGGGAAATCCTTGCCACCTAGATCCTTGGGCATTACCAAATAATTTGACATCAGTGGAATTCTATATCAGATGTCAGTGGAAAGGCATTCCCACCTGCTTTCATGTACTCTGAGGATTATGGGACATTAAAAAAGAGGTGTCCCTGCCTTCTTTGATGCTGTACTCTAAGGACTGTGGGGCCTTTCCATCTGTTCTATGGCTGAAGACTTTCAAATGTGTCATCTTCCCCATCAGAATATGGGCTTTTTGAGAATAGGTGCTGTTTGACTTTTTCATTTGTATCTCCAGTGTTTACCACAGTATTGTTCATGTAGTAAGTGCTTAATAAATGCTCTATTTATTCACCTGTTCTCTCATATATACATAAATGCATATGCATACATACACAAAGAGCTATAAATTAATGACACAAATATGTGCAGGTCATTATCCTAGGATCCTGGAATCAGAGACTTATATGGCAAAAGATCTTTAAAGTTCCCCTTGTTTAAGTTCCCTTTGTCTAACACTTTTGTTGTACCTGGTCTAGAGAAATTAAGTGAATTGTTAATTGTTCTTGAGATAGGAAGGAGAAGAGTTTCAATGAGAATGGAGTTACACTGACCTGAAATAAATTAAGCATGAGAAGGGAAATGAGAGGTCTAAGCCTAGAGGCACCTAGATTGCAGAATGGATGGCATTGGACTTGGAGTTAAATGTCTTTAGTTCAAATTGTTTCCCTAGCACTTTACTATGGATCTGACCTTGACCAAATCCCTTAACTTCTCTAGGCCTCAGTTTCCCCATCATTAAAATGTTGAGACCAATAGCACATGACCTACCAGGGCTATTGTGAGGATATAGTGAGATTTTTGTTTATGAAGTGCTCTGTAAACCTTAAAGCATTCTATGCAAGTTATAGCCATTATTACAGTGTACCAAGAATATATTTGGCAAGGAGGACATTCTAGCTAATGGGAAAATAATACTACATTTGGAATGAAATGGGGCTTGAGTCCTGGCTTGGTCACTAAAT